CCCTTGATACAAATCCTAGTTGTCCCATCTGAATAAGATTGTCATACCACTGAAAAGGCTACAGTCTTATTATTATGCATGATTATGATTCATATAGTAGTATTCATCTTCATGATAATGATGCATTTTTAATATTCAAACACTGGAAAAGGCCATAGAAGATGGCATTTGTTATCCAAAATGACATTCCTATTAACTTAGGCAGTTATGTGGTTTTTATTTATTTCTGGTGAGATAGATTCACAAAGAATAGGCTTATCAGTGGAAACTAAATGAGATCTTCAGATTTGAACAAAGAGTGAATCCGACTGAACCAGTGTAAGATTATCTCATCATATTCAGTGATTCAGGCAGTATATTCAGTGATAAGGGCACTGAAAAAATATTTCTCTGCCATTATTGTGTCTATAGAGTGCCAATTGGTGAGCCTGTTCAAGGTAATCTGGCCCCTCCTGGGTAAGCAGGGCTCACAGGAATACCTGCAGGGGCCACTGTAAGAACTATTCTAGGCATCTGTTGTATAAAGTCACTTGGATTCGGAATCTGGCTGTACAGATCAATTGGAGTTACCTAAGGTGCAGTCTGGCCCAGTTATCTGGGAAGAGTTGAAGCCACTCATCGCTGATGAAGTGGACAGGCTCCTCAGTGCTGTGAGTTCAGCCATCTGTATTTTAGATTCTTGTCACTCCTCACTGATTAAGGTCTCCTGATAGGTGGTGGTTGGGTCCAAACAACAGTGAATGCTTCTCTGCAGGAGGAGGTGATTCTGTCTTGCCTTGAAGGAAGCAATTGTCTAGTAACCCCACAGAAAGAGACTGTTGCTATACCCAATGGATCTGGACAACATTCATCCAATTTCCATTTGAGAAGGTGGATGGCATACAGCTCCAGAGGGCCCTGGAAGAAACAGATTAACTGAACCCTTGTCAGTCACAGTTCAGCTTGGCCTTCCTTGATTTCTCTACAGCCTTTGATACCAGAGCTGTGGAATCAAAGTTGTGGAGTTGGAGTCGAAAGCAATTCT